TACGGTCATATAAGCGCCGAATATTAGAGGTGTTACAAGAGAGTAAAAAAAAAAAAAAAAAAAGGAAAGGAGATCAGGACAATAGATGTTTGATAGGAAAGAAGGAGCAAACCACACCAGAGCACCCGCCAACCACCCACTGTTTATTTGTATGGGGATTTTTTTTTAGGTGGGGGGAGATTGATGTGGGTTTTTATTGTTGTTGTTGTTGTTGTTGTTGTTTGTAAGCGTTTTACGGCAGCCGCGAGAGCCTTTAAAACAAAGTATTCCAGCTTCAACGAAAGGAGTGGGGCTTACAAAAGATGACTTGAAGGAGTCGAAGGAACTATGAGAAACTACAACATCACAATTGAAAGAGCTGCAGAATTGGCTGACCATAAAAAAAACTGCATCTCCCCTCGACGTTCAGATCAACGGCAACAGAGGATGAAAAGATTATAGTAAAGTAGGTAATTTTTTTAAAAAAGTCCAACTTGATATTGTGAATAATTGCCAGATCCGTTACCAAACCCGATTCTAGTTTGTCTGTCTGTTTGTTTGTTTGTTCGTCTAAATAACGAGAAGCACACCGACACACGCGCTCATACAACTTAATGCAGTTGAGAGCGCCGTAAAATTCTTACTGAAACCGACACAATAATGGCCATTTAGTGCTGGGAAAAAGTAAGACAGACAAACAGCTAGAAACAACAGGGGGGGGGGAGGAAAGCAATATCCCCCCCCCCCCCCCCAGTGGCACCATCCAACCACCCGTCACAAAGAGATAACAGAGGGGAAGTAAAGATAGTTAAGAAGTATAGGACCTACCAGAGTGTCTTAGCGCCTTAAAAAATAGCAGCTTGCACTGTGTATGCTTGCCAGGAGGAAGTTGAGATTGCTTCAGAAAGCTATCAGCTCTGTTGTGGTAATAAGAAATAAAGATTGCAAAGCGCATACTGTTTGCTGCTCAGCGGGAATTTGCGCTATACAAATAAGATTGTAAAGCGTATAAAACTTGCTGTTGAGCGGGATTTGTGCTATGCAAATGCTAATTGTTATCATTATTATTTGAAAAACGGGGATTAGGCCCATTCCAGGGGAAATAAAACTGCACTGACTCACGTAACGCGAGGTTAATGACCCAATAAAAAGGAGATTCTAACCAGTGATAGCGGGCCATTCCTGTCAGTTTTAGTTTTAGTAGAGGTTTTACGCGGCGCTCGCAACTGCATAAGGTCATATTATGAGCGCCAGAAGATTAGAGCTGTGACAAGAGAGTAACAAACATAAAAAAGAAAACGGGGAGATAAGGACGATAGGTGTTTGATAGGAAAGAAGAAGCAAGCCACACCAGAGCACCCGCCAACCACCCACCATTCCTGTTATTATAGAGGAAGGTTGCCTCACCTCACTCAGTAACAACAGTAAGTTTCCGTTTTTCGTAAAATTTGGTACGACACTTGCAACAACACAAATTGGTCACATAAGTGCCGGGGATTAGAAGAGGGGGAGTTGCAAGAGATTAACAAACGAAGAGAAAAAGAAAGAGGGGAGATTTAAAGGACAATACATGTTTTGATAGAAAGGAAAAAAGGAGCAAACCACACCAGGGCTCGCATCAGCCACTCACAATTCAATCTGATCTGACCTGATCACGCAACTGAAAAATGAGCTCATAATATTCCAAGGGAGGATAGGGTGACAACGAGTCGTGAGACAGCTAATGTAAGGGGACCCTCCGTGGGCAGTCACTGGGGAGTCAGAATATAATATTATACTGACCGGGAGGAAAGGGAAAGGGAGGGGGGGGGAGGAAAAGGGGGTGAAGGAGAGGGAGGAGCGAGGGGAACAAGCAAGGGGAAGGAGGGAGAGAGGGGAGTGAAGACAAAGAAAGGGGGAGAGGAAGGGAGGGGAGTGAAGAAAAAAAGAGGGAAAGGAGCGAGGGGAAGGAGGGA